AATAATAATAATAATAATAATAATAATAATAATAGTAGTAAGCATAACAAAAGTCAATTTTCACAGTTTTTGCTGACTCAAGAGTAATCACATCCTAGCTGAGTCCTGATAAAGAAGAGTTGTAATAATAACATGCAGGGCTTGACATCAAACATTTCGGGAAGGCCGTGCCTGCAGCCACATCAGCCCTCTGCAAGCCTGTGTGCAGTTGAACCTCCGATAGTGCATGCACAGTTTAAAGTTGGACCTCCACTTGGATCACAGCTGTTGAGAGAAAAACGATCTCACCAGCGAAGGTTGCTCTACGTTGACTGAGCATGTGCCAACAGAGGTCTAACTGTGCACCTGTAGAGCTCATAGGCTGTATATAGAATGGACACCATCTGCCTTCTCACTGGGTTAAGCCACTCTGAGAACAGCACCCTCTGGTGACTGGCTGCAGTATAGATCATAAATGTTGCCTTCTCCAGCAATCCCTATGGAGCTGTGGACAAACTTGAGAAATTTATTACACAGAATATGAATTTTTCTCCCCCCTGCTTGCGATGTTGACATGTAGTTATTGTAAGACATGTTGGTAACACTTTCTTTTACAGTACGCTTATTACCAGGTAATTAACAGGTAATTACCTAGTAACAAAATGAAATTATCTGGTAATTACATGATAACTACTAAGTCAATACTGTCTAGCTACCAGGTAGGTAACCTTCCATCATCATACAAATTTGAAGCTGAATTGCTCTGGTATTTCCAGGATTTTCTTTGCTGCCTGGAACCACCACTTGCACAGTAGCATTGTACGCATTTGGTGGGTGAGTCGAACCCCAAAATAAGAACCCCAAATATCTTTTGAAAATGGAGCTGCACAGAAAAAAGAAAAAAAGAAAAACTAGACAGTATTGACTTAGTAGTTATCATGTAATTACCAGATAATTTCATGTTGTTACTAGGTAATTACCTGTTAATTACCGTGTAATAAGTGTACCGTAAAAGAAAGGGTTACCGACTTGTTTGTGCTCAAGTCCTCTTTTTTCTGTGCAGCTCCGTTCGGAAAAGTTATTAGGGGGTTCATGTTTTCTATGATTGACACTTGATACAGCTTATGAGGATTTTGTAGCTCAACCAGGGGATACGCTGTATACGCGAAGCACCATCACAGCCGCTCTCAGCGACTTTCCCGCGAATGCGTACAATGCTACCACGCAAGTGGTGGAGAGCGTACAACGCTGCTGCGCAATGTTGGTTTCAGGAAGTGGAGAAAAATCACGGAAATGCAGAGAGCTTTTCGGCTTCAAATCCGTATACTGACAGAAGGCGGAACCAAGTTGTCTATAGTATTTGTAGACAAGCATGTCATATTCATGCTGGTAAGATCATAGATACTTTATGTGAGATTGCTTGATAACTGTTGCCAACTTTCAACCGCACATTCGCCAGCGGAGGTCTAACTGTGAACGGGCAGAGCTACTTAGCCTTTTTCATTTATCCTTTTTAAATATGTATCATTTTACGATACTTGTGAGTATCATAGCTTTTTAAAAACAAGCTAACACACAATAACCAAGACGGTTTTACTGTGAGAGTTGATGTGGTCTATCAAGTGCCAGTGTTTTAAATGACAGGGTGTACAAACTTTAAGAATTGGACATATTCTCAGAAATAAAATGAGCTCAAATAATAGATTGATTTTTTAAAACTTTAACAGGACACATTTTGGTCATGGCATAAATAAAGGTTGTCGACTCTCACTGTAGCTATTTGTGGGATCTGCCTTCCCTCGGATGAAACCAATAACAGTTCAATTTACAGAAAAAATAAAGCAAAAAGATACACTTGGCCTTTTCCGTCTGCTTTCTGTAAAACATTTTCATAGACCGTGTTGTATTTGTCATATTTGGTCTAAAACACTTAACACTGATGCTTCGCAGCCTGCTATGAGTCCCCGAAGGAAATGAAAATGTAAAAATAGAGAGCAAAAACACTGTCTCATGTTTCTGTGAGGTGGTCCAGGTATTTTCTGGGTTTCAGAAACGGTTATTAAATTCAATTTGATACTTTAGTAAAACCAAAAATAACTGTAGCTCTGTTGTGAAACCGTCCAATTCAATGAACATCAGCTCTGACACAAAAACATATCAGCATATCATATCAGCTCTGTTGTGTTATTCTTCTTTTGTGCATGTGTTTTGGAGTGGAATCACAGTTTTTCCCTGATGTAGACAATTTCTTAAATTTCATATTTTTATGTTCATGTGATGAGTTTGAGTTTCAGCTTCCCCCCTTTAATCTGAACTGAAATTTTCTCATAATGTCAATAAGTAGGTGCTGAATAACTTAGTAAGAACTTTTAGATGTGCCATTTAGATCCACAGAAGAATTTCATGTCATACATAACAAAACATGATAATAAACTTGACCAGTTAAAAAAATTTCATACAAAACCAAACCTTGTAAGATTCAACAACAGGGGAGAGTGGGGTAAGTTGGGATAGGGCTCAACTCCGCCTGCTTCTATGGTCAACTTACCCCATACACGGGTTAAGTTGAGCATAGGAGACCACTTTTTTGGCATGCTATATTATCAAGACAGTTATGTTTACACTCATTCTGTTGGTTTGCAGGGATGCACAACATCTTGAAATATATGCAGATACACGAGTTAGAGACAAAACTATGATTGCCTTGATGTAGTGATCCAAAAATATGAAAAATTGCCCATCTTACCCCACTCTCCCCTCTACCATAGAGTGGGACAAGTGAAAAAAAAAACAACATAACATACAATACAAAACACTATAGCTTATTTGGATACAATGGGATATGATTCTATGCGCTACAATTCAATACTACAATAACACAATGATGCACGAGTGGGAGAGGACAAAGATATAAAAGATAAATGATATTGTTTAAAATGCCATGAAATAAAAATATAATTTAAATGTGAAGAATACAGTATAGCAGGAAAATAATGTATGATTTGATGTGATATATTACAAGGTATGACATGATATCACATGACATGACAAATGATATATGACATGGCATGATATAGTTTGACAGGATGAAGTACGACATATGATGTATCATATTTTATAATATGATATAACATGTTATCATTTATGTGATATGTTGTGAATGTTGTGACAAAAGTTTCCACTTGATAAGTCAGGACATGACATAATGACATATAAAAGAATACAAAAGGAGAAATGATGACACAATTATGATACAAACCGGGAGGTGGAGTTGGGGCCCTGCTGCCGTAACATGCTTGCTGTAAACATGTTGAATTCTGTAAGTAGGATTTGTATTTTTAGTTGACTATAATTGGGATTCTTTTGGTTTTGAGAGCTTCAAGAAACACGAAGAACAGCAGATTTTTTGTTTCTGAATTGGCTTGTATTTTAACCACTAGTAAAAACATAATAGCATTTTTTTTCCTAACATGTCCCACAGGGTTTCCTAAGAGCCCTCTGTACCCATCTGAAGTCAACACAAATAGGGATGTCTGATCCAGGAAAGCTGAACAAAAAAGTGGGTTTAAAATCTTTGTAAAGTAAGTGCAAACTTAGAAAAAAGATTTAATTCTCGATAGTATTAATCAGGATCAGCTGACCTCCTCACTCAGGTTACCTTAGATTTAGTCGTCTCCAAACTCACTGAAGCTCCTGTAGCCCTCAGTGTTGGTGTTCAGTGTTTAGTGTGTCGGCTGCAGCTGTCGGCCTGCACTGAGCTGCACGCTGCAGCAGAGCGGCAGCAGCTGCTGATTGACGGCTCTAATGACATGCAGCGGTATTCAAACCAGAACGCAGGAGAGGAAGATGCTGTCATTTGGACTGATGCCAACACTTCTCCTTCCATCTCCCTCTCTTCCTCCTCTCCTTTGTGTCTCAGATTTTTGTCTCCTCCATTTTTACATTCCTCTTTTTACACTCATTCCATCAATCTTTCTTCCTTTTTCCCTCTTCTTATTTGCTGTCCTCTTTGATTCACTTATGTCAGATTTTTTGATTTTCTTCAACATGTTTTTTTTTTATTTACTTCTGGTTCATTCTCTTAATTTTCATCCCTCTTTTCTTTCCTATAATTTATTTCTTTTCTCTTTCTTTCTTCTTTCTTGGAGTCTGCCTTTTAATATTTTATCTTGTGTTTCTTTTTTTTCCACTCATCCCTCTCTACTCCTCCTTCTCTTCTGGCTGTATGAGTATGAGTGTATGTGTGTGTGCATTTGTGTGTTTTTGTAGGTTTGTGTGTTGCTGACAGGTGCAGATCATTAGTGTAGCAGGTAGAAAAATACACACACAACCACTCTAAGCACACAAACACACACATTGTGGACAGACACACCGCTGCACCTGGCCTATTGCATGCAGAGAGTGTGTGTGTGTATCTGTGTGTGTGCGTGAATGAGTGTGTATGTGAGAATGCAGAGCTGAGAATGACAGGGATAAATAGACTTTTAAGAGAGATTTGAGATGGGCTTATTTTTAGTTGCATCAAACATCAAAACAGTCATGCACACACACATGCACATGCACACACACACATGCACACACAAATTTCCAGACAACTACTATAACCTCTGTGTAGTTCAGAGAGCAAAACAGGGTGAGATTAATGTTGCTACCTGCCACCAGAGACCACTGCACACACCCCATCATGTACATGAAACACACACACACACACACACACACACGCACAAACATTCAGTTTCTGCTGACGTCGGCGTTTCCATTGTGGAATTTATGCTAAATATGCATATCTTAATTGCATTATCTGAAATAATTAGCCGGTGTAGTTCTCTTTCCCTCTTGTCTGTTGGCGAGCTGAGCAAACAGCGCCGCGCTGCAGGGGGCGGAGCTCCTGCCGCCACCATCACTTCGACCAAATTAATCCAGTCCCCGTTTGCTAATTATTATCAGTTCTGCTGTGCGGTTACTCAAACTGAGAGCCAGGGGCAGAGACAGAGGAAGGATCCATCTCTTCCTACTGTCCTCACTCAAAAGACAAAAAGAGTTTTTCAACAGATAAAAGTTTTAAAAGTTTCCTAACATGTTAAGAGACAAGACAAAGAATTTTTTAAAGTTATTTGACATATAACACCATGTACCTTGGGGAAAGGAAAAAACCTCTTTATAAATGTCATGTGATGTTACCTTTCCTGAAGGCCTACTTTCTTCTGTTTGGCCAGGTAAGCGTAGACATAATGACCATAACTAGTGGAAAAAAAAAAAAAACTGTACCTTGAGAAGTTTTTTAACTGAGATGCTCTCCTCAGTTTTTTTACTATCATCATCTGCCACAAAAGTGTAGGAGAACGTTCAGTGGTATTAGAAAATTAGAGATTCTTACTGAGTGATAACTCACAGAGTAGAAAATAAAAAGCTGTGTCGAAGTGTAAAAATGAACTTACTGGAGTGTGCACTTAAAGCTAGCTTCAAAAGTAAAGGAAACCTCATTAAAGTCCATGCTTCAATCTCAGGAGCACTGTGAGGGTGTCGGGTGTCCCGCTTTGTGCTGGCCTGGAGTTGCTGGACAGAAGTGTGGAAGTATTTCATTCATATTTCCAGGGGGCATCAACAATGGTTGCATGCAGGAGTGCCTCATAAAGTAACTGTTGAGACTTACAACCAATCAAATTGCGGACCACTTGACGTAGTGCCTCAAATCACTCGCTGCCATCAGATGTGCGTGTTCCTGTAGCTGCCATCTTGTTTGTTTACAAATACCCTAAAGCCAGACTGCTGTGTCGTCATCTTACAGGATCTGCCCCGTTTTTACACCCAGGGTTATGATTGGTTAGGTGTATCTGTCAAAAAGGGGGAATCATTAAGAGTGACACCCACCTGTCAGGAAAACTGATTATGAACTGGCTGATGGACCCGGTACACCAGGCTAGCTTTATGTAGGACTGCTTCACTCCCTCCACCTATTATGTCCACCATGTCCAACAAATTGTTCCAAATTTGAATGTGGGATTGCTGCTTTTCTAAAAACCTGGTCTGTTTGCAGCCTGTGGTTAATATCTCCACTACAATGTTATATGCCAATCGGCCTGTACACAAACCGTATAAAGTAACCAACCTGTCAACATCCTCTTTGCCTATGTTACACCCAACAGCACTAAACAACGGTGTGAGAGCACCTTATGATTGAACTCATGTCAAAGAAAAGGAAAGGCAGCCACAACAAAGTCTGGGAAAGTATTTTGTTTCAGTGGAGGCCAAGCTTTCTTGCAACATTTGCAAATGAAATTCATGCACAAAAGAGAATATTACTTCAAGTGACACACTACATGCAAAAACATAAAAAAGAGCCATGGCTCATACAAAGAAATGTGGATCTTTGAGTGCATTCCCCTGAGACCAAAAGAGGATCTCCAAACAGAAAAGGTAACAGCAGAAATAAAAAAAAATGGATGCTACCACACAGTGTAGTGCTTACAGTCAGATCAGGTTGCTGTCTTCAACAGTTTGCAGTATGATATCTGATAAAATATGATATCCATATTAAGACCTACTAACCCAACAAGCAGTGGATTATGGGAGTACACACCTCTGAACCAAACTCAGTCATCATTGAAAATCCAACTACAGTGATTTTTGGGTCCTCAGATGAATGATGTGATCTGTCAGAACTTCCTGATTGATTCAGGTCTGATCAGCTGTACTGCTCTGAATGATTATTGGCTGTTCGGTTGTCATGACAACAAACCATCCCCTGAATACAGGAGGCCTTGGAACAATGTTCCTGTTTTAGAGATGCAGACCATCACTGCTGCATCCGATCACAAGTTAATGGCTGTTTTACACGGTCGCCGGCATGCTCCTTTAAGGTGTTTCATCCTCCTGAACCACCTCCAGCTTCGACTCCATCCTGAGCAGTCCACCTTAACAGCCCTCTGCCTGGCACTCAAACCAGCTTTGTTTACTGACAGGATTTGGCAGTCAGCCATTTTGTTTTTGCACATTTACATAAACACCAAATGGTGCCTGTTTCCTGTGTGAGTGTGTATGCAGTGTGTGTGTGTGTGTGTATGAGTGTGTGAATGTGCAGGGGCCCTGGCTAATTCCCTCCCTTGTCGCTGCTGCAGATGAAAATCGGAGGCAGTTTGAGATTCATTAAAGCGCGGCGGCTGCCCGGATGCAGTTTTCCTGCAAAAAGCCGATGAACTTGACACAAATGCTCACGAGCTGCAAGTTCATCCCTCCATACCTTAATTCAGTTGATTGCTAAATTATGCAATGACCCAGCCAAAGACATGGGGAAGGGCGGGGGGGCTTTATCGCTGCCAGTGATTTTTCCAGAATTACTCTGTTTTTAGAAATACTTCCTGCTCGCCGTAACCGCGGGCTAAACATGTGTGCTAGGCAGCACAGCAGAAAATAAACGAAGAACTTCCACTTCCTACCACTCCTGCTCTTCAGTAGACTGTAAGAGTGTCATCCTCATATATCAGGTAGACAGGGAGACATGCCATCAATGTAAATGTTCAGTTTTATTAATTTTACCACTGTAAGCTGCAATTGACGTTGAATTTAAAATGAATGAGTTGTTCATCCTGACCTGTTACAAATACCTGTCATGGCACAGGGTTGAACGATGGGAAAAGGACCCAAAAATGCAGAACAATTGATTTATTTAAAAAGAACTAAATGAAAAAACAACAAACACTTTCTTCAAAATGTCCAGCTGAAAAATCCCTAAGACAAAATCCAACAAAAGGCACAGGGTAAAAAAACAAGGAGACAATGGATTCACACATTGACTACGACTGACGCACACTGACCAACAAACACACACACAATGAACCAACCAAGACAGAGGGGGAGACAGGGACTATATACACACTGGGACACGAGCAACAGGTGAAACAGACGAGACACAGGTGAAACTAATGGGTGATTAACGAAGGAGGGAAAACTTGGGAAGTAAAACCAGACTAGAAACACAAGGAATCAACTACTACAAAATAAAACAGGAAACACTGAGAACTGAACTAAAGAATAAAAACAGAGAACAGGAGGGAAACAGGATCAAATACAAACTAAAAACTCATAAGACTGGACTACAGGGGAACAGAAACACTAGGAAACACAGAAAATACACTCAAATGACAAAACCATGAAAAAACTAAATCAAAAGAACATATCATGACAATACCAAATCCTCTTCAATGGTCTCATTTGAACTGAAAGGGACCATCGAGGGGAAATGAAGCCTGTACTTCCCGTGTCTGATGCCGACTCTTTGGCTTTTTATACATCAAGTTAAGGATCCTTCTCCACCAGGCTTTTAAAGTAACATCAACCCAACTTAGGCATTACTGGGAAAAAGAGACAATACCTCTGATGATAGAGAAGAAATACAGAGAAAAACCACTCAAAGTGGAGGGTCAGGGGCTGGAAATATGATGACCAGCTTTTCATATTTGTGCTGCATTTACTGTTACTTTGTGTACATTTCAACTGTAGTATCACTTTTTGAATTTGCATGATTTCCTTATTTGCAGCATGTTTCTCCTACTAGAGACCATTTGGTTCTGTGAATATATAGTACAGGGCATGTAAGCTGATATAAAGTTTCCCCAAACTTCAATCTCAAACTGCAACCTCTAAATAAAAAACACAGAGTACTAAATAGTAGTAAAAAACTGAATGCGCACAGCTATAAAGACATCAAAACTGCCATTAGATGCATTTTGATAATCTTATACATCAGTTACAATTGTGTGTTTTGGATTTCAAATTGTTAATTGTATTTCTAGTGCAACTCTCATCAAAAATAGGAACAAAATAAGATGGCTCACTTGCACATACTGTCAGTTTTGTTCAACATATTTGTGAAGTATTGGATCATGTATGCTGGTCAGGTGAGCGGCATGGGAAGGCCAGATTTGGCCCAGGGGCTGCCGATTCGGCCTGGTCAAAAGGGGTCATTAGAAAATCACTTAACAGTAAACAAACAGTTCAATCAGAAATACGCACAAAATTAAGACCAGTGAAGAGGTCATGAGGATGGAAAGAAATGAAATACTGTCTGTGACTAATCAGTAGTACATACCACTTCTGTTTGCAATCCCACAAACCCTTACTGCTTTCTGTCACATGAAGGTGACAAATATTGGTGTTTTTTGTTTGACATTTTAACTTTAGGTATTATATGAGTCAGATTTTTTATTCCTGATAGTAAATACAGTGAAGATTTGAACACGTTTACATTGGTTGCCTGTTTTAACTGTGCTGTTAACTATATGTTTTATGTATTAATGATAAGACATTCATTTTCTGCTTTTATTCTTAGGAAAACATTCTTATTTTTCACACTTTCTACATATTTTTTGACTTTCTATCCCCAGTTGTTGCATTTGAAGATTTATAAATCTTGTCGTACCTTGATACACTTGGGTTTTGTTGTTGTCTACTGTCTGTTATTTTTATTGAGAGGTGAGATGCTCATATAAGTCACCTGGATTGTATTACTTCACCATCATGTTAACCTCCTCTGATTGTCTATTTACAAGTGTGTGACTGTTTTATTTTTCACAGATTCAGTAAAAAAAAAAAAAAATCTAGTAAAAAGTTGGGATTCTTTTTTTTGTGAGAAGGTCTTGTATTTTTGCACGAACTTCCTCCTAATGTAACATCAGTGAACGCAGGAGTCTGTATTGCCTTCTTTACTTTCTTTCTTTACAACCATCCTTCCTTTTCTCCTTTCCTCCACTAAAATCTCCTCGCTCCCTCGCTCTGTGTGTTTCCGCTCTGATGAGGACTCACTTCTCTCCGGGCTGTAATTAAGCAGCTCTGCCTCTGTCTCTGCGCTCAGTCATGGATGGCTCATTGTGCACATGGATTCCTCTGCAACGCTTAATTGGCTAAATGTTGTTTAGCCCACTTTGTCACTTTTTCTCCTCCACATTTAATATTGCCATTTCTATCATTACTGTGATTACTTGTAGTTTTAAAACACACATCCTCATGTGTTCCTTCTCATCACCCTTTTTCTCTAACTTAGATCTTTCATAAACTCTTCTTCTTTGCAGCATTTTCTTTTTTTATTTCAGTCCTCACATTAAAACTACTCTATTTCCCCCTTTTCTCACTTTCTGTCCGTCCTCCTCTCATCTGGCCGTGCTCCAGATCTGGCAGGGTTTTAGCCCGTGGTCCTAATTGTCAGAGCGAGGGTGGATCCTGTATGCGACGGCCATATGGTGCCTGGCTGCAGGGGCTGAACTCCCCGGGCGTTTTAGAAAAGGTGAATGTTTGTGAAACATCCACGCTATAAGAGAAATTAAATCTAGATGACAGAAAAAAAAGACATTTGAGGAGATAGTGTGTCTTTTTATGCCTTTTACTCACAGGGAAAGTTTGGGCAAAGAGTCTAAAACATGAAAACTTTGTCACATAGTGGCCTGTAGAGGACATCTGAGGGGGCTTTTGGTCTGGACTTTCAGACTTTCCCAAAACCAAAATGATAGGTGTGAAACTTCCCCAGGACCTGGTCCAGACCAAACAGCCGGACCTGAACCATGGTCTGGTTCATGCCCAGTGTGAAAGCATTATGGGGGCATTATTTGTGTCCTTGGGCAAGACACTTAACCCACCTTGCTCCCAGTGTGTGTCCTCCACTGGTGTTTGATTGTGAGTGTTGTGTGGTGGTGGTCGGAGGGGCCGTAAGCGCAAAATGGCAGCCACATTTCCGTCAGTCTACCCCAGGGCAGCTGTGACTACTAAGGTAGTTTACCACCACCAAAAGTGTGACTGTGTGAGTGAATGAATGATGTATCCAATGTAAAGCGCTTTGAGGGTCTCTGATAAAGCGCTATATGAAATCTGATGCATTATTATTATTTTTATTATTATTATTTTGAAAGGTACGGACCTTCGTACCAAAGACAGGAAATGACTCGAAGAGTACAAGTGTCTGTTATTATGTGTAATGGAGATTGTCCACAAATGAGAAATTTTACAATATTGAAGATACCTCACTATTGACAGCTTATCTTTTCAAGAGTTTTACAACACATACTTTCTCTTCAAGGTTGGTGTTGCAGTGGCTCGCAGTATTACATACTTTCTTTTCCTTTCCTGTTGATGACAATTAAGTTGCCGTCTAATGATAAAATTCATTAGACGAACTCTGACCAGTCTCATGTACAGCTCTTCAAGCTGTTGCTGTTGGTAGTAGAAAATCAACAATAATAAAATGAGGGGAATGACGATTTTATTCATGTTTACAATATTCAAGACTCGCATTATTCAATGTGTCGACATCAGACGCCCACTGGCCAAATGACCAATTAATGCAAAGTAAAGAGACACGCAAAGCACATAGTATGATATCACGTAGGTTTGTAATGTAAAGTCTGTTAGTCCGTTTGCAATAACTACAATGTGAAACCTGGATAGACTGAACCAAATGTATACAATGTTACAAAAACATGGACCTTGGTTTGGACCTTGGTTCGCCCTTTCGGGTGTGAAAACATCCTAGGACACATATTCACTGTCAGATCAGCAGTAGATGAAGTATCAGAAAGGCAAACTGAAAGGAAAGTAAAGACATCAAGTCAGAAAAACAACTTTGGTGAAAGTCAGCTAGTCCAGCATGACTAGAGTCTTCATGTATCTTATCCGTGTACAAGAGACACTTTCCATACCTCTTTTGTCATCCTCACGGCGAGGAGGCAGGCTTCTGATCGGACCCTTTCAGTTCAGCTGGACAGAGATACAGACGCAGCATACATCTTAGCATTGTCAGCTGGTAACAGAAATGCCCAGAGTTTAACCTAATGGCTGATTACCTGTTTTTTAGGGGATTGAATCAGGATAGTCTCTGAAAACATGTAGATCTTCTCTGTAAGATAGGAGAGTCCCCAAATGTCCCAAAAATAAAACATACAGATCTTCTCTGTAAGATAGGAGAGTCCCCGAATGTCCCAAAAATAAATGCATCGCTGTAGAGCTGCCGGGTCTCACACAGCGACAGTAAATGCAAATGACTTCGGTCTTGTGGAAAGAGCCATCTGGCAGAGCTTTAAAGGTAAGTCCATATCTTTATCCAACTCTACTTAGTGAGCTGAGTTCTGTTTCTGCTGGCCATCTGCAGCTGCTGAGTCACTTTCCTAATATTTATTGGTAAATTGGAGATAAACAACCAATATTTGAAAATTAGAAGAATTAGCAAACTGCCAATGAGCTAGCGGTAGCAGCCTTCTGATTCAGCAATTTATAACTGATGTTAATGATTCATAGTGAATCGAAAAAAAATGGCGTTTCAACTGGATTACTACTTTCTAACTGTTACTTTAACTGTTTCTGTTCAACTCTGTGACTTTCAATTTAACACAAGTAATGCACTTCAAAATAAAAACATATATAACTTGACAATAGAGGAAGTAAAGCCTCCAAAACACAAGTCAGCAAAAAGATCAGAATGAAAGCATAGCAAACAGTCGCTCAATGAAGCGATGTCTTCTCCAAAGAAGTTTATCCAAAGTCAGCCACTGTGGTTGTGTTGGTCACTCTAGCAGGAAGAGCACACCCAAGCTGATCCCACAAGTGTTCACTGAGGTTGAGGTCAGGACTGCTGGTAGGCCAGTCCATCCTCTTCACTCCCAAATTCTGGAGGTAGTCTCTGATAATCTCCGCTCTGTGGGGGAGAGTGTTGTCATTTTAGAAGATAGAGTTCAATCCCAGAATGTGGAGACATGGGATTACGACTGGTTTTAGGATCTCATCTCAATAAACATAGTTTTTGATAGATCGATAGATATACTTTATTGATCCCAAACTTGGAAATTCTCAAACATTTACGCCCAACATGGGGCTCGAACCCACGACCCTGAGATTAAGAGTCTCATGCTCTACCGACTGAGCTAGCCGGGCTTTACCAGTGAAGGATATGACACCCACACCATCACACAGACTCCACCTGAAGATGTTACTCTATCAATTCAGCAATCAGCATAGCATTCTATGGGTCTCCTCCACACTTTGACCCAAAGGCAGAATCTGGACTCAAAGCTGAATACGACATTCCTCCACATGATCAGGTTCCTCTGCACGTGTTGCTGACATCAGTGCAAACGGGCCTGACAGTGAAGAGCAGTCATGGTAGGCCTAATGGCAGCACTATGAGACTGGAGACTGGTTGTATGTAGTCTGTTCTGGATTGTCTGAGCAGAAAGTCGTCAGCCATGTTGTCCTGCAAACCTTGACAGGCTTCACGGTGCTGACAGGGTATGGAAACAATCTTCTTGGGGTGTCATCTTCTTGGCACGTCTCTGCCCCCGTTATCTGGAACTTAGCTCTCAGTTTGGAAATGGCTCTAGAGTTCACTCCAATATCGCCACAACTTCGCTTCACATGGGGCCTTTCCAGATTAGTCAAACCTGGCATGTCAAAGCTTACTGACCACTGTAGTAGGGCCTATGCTAACAGGTGTGATTAATAGACATATACACTTATAAATGTGTGTCTGTGTGTGCATCTCAGCTCTGTACCATAAGTCTGTGCTCTGATATATTAATGGAGCTGACACACCAGCACTGGTCAAGCTCAACAGAGATCCACAGGGAGGAACAGGAAGTCAGACATGAAGCAGCAAACAGCATGTGGTCAGCAGGCGATATGTCAGATGGTATGAATAAAAAATGGTATCTGATGATCGATATTTTGTTTTAAACTTGGAAATACTCTCATATCCAGATTCATGTCCATTACTGCAGGACGGTCACAACAAAACAAAAAGAAAAATACCAAGCAAATCTTTATCTAGAAAGAAAAAAGAAACTATGTCGTGTCCTCATTGATGGTGGAAGCACAAAACCCCCAATATCAAAACTTCATGAACGGTAACTCAAACACAGAAGAGCCTTTAGTTGTTATTTTTAGATGACTAACTGTGTGCATAGTTGTTATCATGTGCTAGCAATAATTGATTATGCTGTCATGTTATCAAGGTAATGTTGAACATTACTTGAAAAAGATGACTACAATGAACCCTTTCATTGAACTCCTCTAGACAGATTACAACAATTACCCGTTGAGAAATGGACTACTTTCCAGGAATCAAAAGTAATATCTTCAAATGTGACTTAAAAATTAGATTTCACTGCTTGCTGAAGAGTAAAAGAGCCAGAACAAGAAAAAAAAAAAGAGAAAAATAATCCTCAAATTTTCTGTGTTTTTGCAAGTTATAAGGCAGAGTGAATTAGAGTGAATTCTGCCTGGCACCAACAGCAAGAGTTTGACTTTCCTCACTGCATAAAGCTTTGTTTTGAAATGCAGAATATGAGAAAAGAAAACCCTCTTCTATTTTATGTCTCTGATCTGTCACCTGGCACAAATATTCACCTGTACTTTTATGCCGCTTAAGTTTTTGCTGGATAAAAAAGAGAAAAGTTTGCGGGTGAACTGAACCCTGAAACTTTACAAAGATGCATTTAAAAATTAAAAATCTGCATGTTTGTGTTTGTGTGTGTGTATGTGTGTACGTGTGTCCTGAGTTAAATTTATGCAGGTTATCTTCTCCATATGCAAAGGGTCAGCAGGTCAGCTACACTAATATCAACAAAAACTCACACACAAGCTTAAACACACACACAAACTCCTAGATCACTGCCTCAACTTTACAACCAAAGACACACAACCTGTTGGCCATTGGAGTGTGTGTGTGTGTGTGTGTGTGTGTGTGTGTGTGTGTGTGTGTGTGTGTGTGTGTGTGTGTGTGTGTGTGTGTGTGTGTGTGTGAGTTGTAGACATTAAAGGTCCCACTGGGAACTTAGGATCCAGCTGCTGATTTCAGAACAAATGACATCTGCTGCCACACACACACACACACACATACACACACACATACACATACACAGACACACACAAGCATATCACTTCACTACCACCAAGAGTATATGTAACACACTCTGAACATGCTAACCGGTGGTGCGACACACACACGTTGGAGAGTAACAGATGTAGTGTGGGCCTGAGACACATGCTCGCCCTCCTCCGACTCAGGTGGAGAGAGAGCAGAGCGTGTGATGGAGAGAGGCGAAGAGAAAGAAAGAGAGAGAGAGAAAGAGAGAGAGAGAGAGAGAGAGAGAGAGAGAGAGGAAGAGAGAGAGAGGAAGAAAGAGGAAACTTGCATCTAGTAAATTCTGTTTTTCAAATGAAAATCTGTTGTTACTGAGAGTGTTGCTGAATTTCAGAATTAATGACTGCATTAACATGAACACTGTATTCCTGCTCTAACCAAAACACAGCTTATCCTGACTTTTAAAACCATGTGAAATTATATCCTGATTACTGAACTAGATTGAGGCTATGTTCACACCGCAGGTCAATTCAGATTATTTAACCATATGTGACACACATCTGATTTTTTCATGTGAGTGTGAACATTGCAATCCAGATTATTTCAAATCCGACCCAGGCCTCTTTTGTACGTGGATATAAATCGGATATGTATCCGATGTGACTACAGTGTGGACTCTTTGTGGACTCAATATGCGACAAACGTCATCAGTGTTCGACAACACAAACAGGCGTGGAAAGCAATTTGTGCTTAGTGGATCACTTCACGGACACATTCCGTTCACATAAGATGCCGCATTCGTTGTTGTAATGTGAACAACCGCACAAAAAAATCAGAATCGTGCATCATAACCTGCAGTGTGAATGTAGCCTAAGACCCTTGGCATATGCCTTCATTAAACAAGGATACTGGGTCATGTACTTGAATCAATATGAAAAAGCTCCTTAAAGGAATATCATGTTAATTTTCAGTTCTAAAGGAGTTATTGTGGTTTGTTTGGTCAGACGAACAGCAAAATAGATTTTTAATAGCTAATGCCGACACCGATTGGCTATCCACAGGTTTGCTGACAGCTAATATATAACACGGATATCACACTGTCAATGTACAATTTAATGACTCTAAGAAATGAAAAACAAAATTTCTAAACTTGATAGAATATTTTACCAAATATATATAGCAGGAATTTAATTTGGCCTATTATTCAGACAGGGAACCAAATCACAAAACTCTGAAATAATAAAAGATAAAGTCTATAAAGGAGTCCTGGGAGTGAAATAAATACTGTCCTGCACTCCTTTGTGTAATAAAACCACAGACAGTTATGTCTTATTAATGAAGGTATACCAATTAAATAGCTGGATTACTAGCGGTGGAGTAACTCATAATGGTGAGATTTTTATTTGGTAATGAAGCTCAAGGACTTATGGTCAGTATCGATCATAAGAGGACGTTTAGCAGAGGTGTACATGTATAAGAGATCACTATAAACCTAAAGGGGCAAAAAGTAGCAAAAAATCAAACTTAAATTTTAACCTGAACTTTTCAACAGGTACAGCACATGTTGTTTATCACCGCATTTATGGAAACTTGGGGGAAAATGAAAAGGCTGCTCTCAGTCCAATCGAGAAAAAAATATGTTTTCTTGGATTTTGAGTTGGTGTGAACTTACACAACAAAAGTCTTTCTTCTGCTTTTTTTTTTTTTTACCTATCTTCCATTTCATGCTGAGCAGTACCCAGCATAAAGAACTACTTTTCACCTCTCCTATAGGAACCATCCTGTCCTGGCATAACTGTATGCTTAATTTCAGCATCTTAGCAACTTTTTGAGGACAGTACTTGTCATTGGTATTTTGTAAAAGCCCTAACTCAACTCTTGATAATTAAATGCATTTTTAATTTCCAAGGAAAATGATGAAAAATATTGAACTATTCCACAATATTAAAAAGTTTTAAACTGTACCTGTACATTTTTTAAGAACAGTTTGCCTCAGTCTTTTTAAATGTTTTTGTCGTCTAAAAAGTAAGGGAGTGTCAAACAAAACGTTCAATCTGCAACAACTCAACAAAATTGGAGTTAGTCTGCAGGAATCTGACCTGAAGAATGAAGAGCGTGTATTTTACTGAGTCATCTCCTCATGTTGTTCTGGCACAGGAATGTAAATCTTTTACTTCAGCCCTACAATAAATGATTTCTTATATAAGCAGAAGTTTATATATAAAAAGTTTGATGTTTTGCAGTTTTTTCTCTGTTTGTGGTAAAGTAAGTCGTCATTATGTAACCTCTGTGCACAATCCGAGGATGTTCTCTTCATTTTTACATTTTTCTGTGGTTTTATGTGTGTTTGACAGTGTGTTTCTGTGGGTGTGTCGGGGAGGGGAGGGGGGGCATGGATCAGTGTGGCAGGTGCAGAGATTGTGGCGACGCCCCCAGGCTGACCGCGGGGCTTGAACGCTCGCCGTGGCGATTAATCACCCGGCAAAATGTTTCTGACGTGCCGAAGAGGGAAAGAGAGGAGTTTCATGCTTGTGCATCCTTCACTGATCATGTGTGTGTGCGTTTGTGTGTAAGAGGGGGGGAGTTGTGGATTACACACTCTCTCTCACACATGGGAAGAGTATCTGAGAAGAAAGTCACTGATGATGCAAAGTTGGGAAAATGATGTGGTAATAGAAAGAATTTATTTATTTATTATTGTTTTCGCTCTGGCTCTACCACAAGTGCATATGTCAGAAAAAATTATATTCTCGTCAGTTTGTTCTGAGTCTTCTTGAAAATCCACCACCATTTTTGTCACGAAAAAACTCTATTTCTCACAATTTATCACTAGATTTCTGGCATAAACTCTATCAATTTTAATCATTTGAATAACCAGTGTACGAGGGAATCAGTCAGGAACAACTTTGGACTCACCATTTACCACAAACAGGAAGTCTTTTATCATAAACATTCATGCAACATGTTATATTTGCAGTTTGGCTTGTTCTGAGAGCTTCCCTCTGCACATGCGTACAAGAAATACCAACGCCAAAGGCAGGGAGAGCAGCAGCAAAGACCGTCAGAGCACAGAACAGCAGACATCAGACACAGGTAGAATCAAAAATAGCAACAAGGGAAGGAGACGGGATGGAGGTGGATTAAAAAGCAGTTTGCAGAGGAAGAAGAAAGTATCCAATTGGGTACAAAGAAGATGACTGACTGAGCTTTGATTTGGTGTGGACTGGCAAAGATCAACTGATGTACTATGGGCTAAACTTGACTTCATGGGTTCATTATGTGTTGAATTATATGCTAAATGTACGCATGGTGCTGATGGATCAGTTATTTAGATACTCTCAATGTTAGGAGCACACTTTAGGTTTCCAAAAAGAGCAATGACCAAACTTCGAACTACAGAAAGGTGTAAGTAGGAGTGATGGAGGCAATGCTTTGTATAAAAAAGCAGCAACTGTAGGATTGTGTGTGGAGCACAGGTGTGACAAGGTCATCTGAGGGGGTTAGGGTTAGAGTTAGGTTTAGTGTTTCATTTAAAGTCACATTTGAAGAGACGGTCTTCTATCGGGCAGCCTGTCAGCTGATTACAGTTTTGTGTCCTACTGGAACCGATGTGGTTCTTCACTTGATACCTACATGCTGCAGCTGGACTTATTCTGTCTCATTTTGAACAAGATGGTATGAATATGAAAAACATAACAACATAAATGTCCCTTTTGCAGAAAAAACAGGTCCTGATTGCACAACTTCAGACCATTACAAGCAAACTTCAGACAAACGAATGAGACTTTGAAGACTTTTTCTCCAAGGCAAGAAAAACTAACTTTTTTGTCAGCTGAAATGAAGTTCTTTCGGCTGACAAGTTCTTTCTTAACCAAACTAAGGAGTTGTGTGGCCTGTAGACATAACCAAACTGTTATGGCCTTATAAAACTAAAGGAAGCAAAACCAGCTCTGTGGGTTAAATTTAGGAGAAGATCATGGTTTGGGTTGAAGTGATCCATAA